AAATAGTGGGGAGAGCTCGTCAATCTGGTCCATGCTGATCTTTTCAGAGCGTAAAAAACAACCAAAAATTTTGCAGGCCATCTAATAATTTGGCCAGTTAAAAATGTACTTGAACACGCATTTCACGTTCTGACATAATGGTAGCCTACCTTTTGGGCTTTACATTGGAGATTAGCATTTTGAAGCATTTTGAACGAAGAGCCGTTTGGGAGCCATGTTCCCCCATGATGAAAGGTGGGCATGACTTTGGGAGCCAAATGAGCCGGCTCTTTTACATGAATGGAGCCAAATGAACCGGCTCACTGAAAAGACTCAGGAATGCCCATCACTAACACACTCATACACACACACTGCGCCCAGTGAGCAGTTAAGTGCCTTGCTCAAGGGCACAAAGGCTGAAGATGGCAGCTAGGATACTGATACCAACCCTCTGGTGGTCAGCTCACTTCCCACCAGATTTTTCTCATCTGACCTGGGATTCGAATTGGCAATTCTCTTGTTTCTGGCTCGGCTCTCTGACCTCTGGGCTACCTTCCGCCTACATATTACTGATATCATAAACTTATTTTAGATTATCACCTGAACATCCATTTGCCTTTGAGCTGTGGATAAAAGGATTACAATTGTGTTAGCCATATTAGTTTACGGAATACTTCAAGTTATATTGAGGTTTTCTTTAATTTATGAGTCTCCTACAAGATGACATGCTCTAGTTCACTAAACAAAGTTTAAACAATGTATTGTGTTTCCAGTTAAAACTCATGACATGCCTGTGTCCACTAGACAACGTCGGCAATGTGTTCTGTCATCCCGCCCTGGGATTCTCCCATCTCCTGCGCTACACGATAAACAGCCAATGTCTCAGTGTTTTACACACACTGAAACACACTGACAGTGCTTTACTTGTCACTTATTCTGACCCCTTTGATGAAAAGAGATGACTGCGTGAAACAGTGTGAATCTGAACACGTCAGTAAAAAGAGATGTGATTAATCACACTCAGAATTAATGCAGCCTCGATCCAGCCCTTCATCATTAAGACAGACGAAAAGCAAATGCATGTAAACGAGGCTTTACCGCAATTAATTACTCTGAAAGGGACACCAAGACGCGCCAAGGCCATTAATAAGACAGAATGGCAAAGTTTTACATCCCTTAAGGGATTTTTTTTTTTTTTATCACCTGCAAAACAATACTCTTTTGAATAATCTTTACTTTGGAAACTGTGTTATTCGTTGTCCAACAAACACAAAAAAAGACATTCAAGTCTGAACTTTTATTTCAGAAGAATCAAACCTACCAAAAATAAAACCTTCAGAATAATTCAACCAAAAATACACTCTGTTTTATCTGTCCGTGAGGGGAATACATTTGATAACAATAACACAAACAAGGGAGCGGAGGAAGATATATCATAATATGTACCAGGGTCTATACCTGATCAATTATTTTGGTATTTGTGGATGATTCATTCATAAAGGTCTTTGTCAGGCTCCTAATCAATTATTTATCTATTTTTGTGGATATTTGATCAATCTCTTTGATAGGTTGGCAACAATATGCTCTCCACTAGAGGCAACTCCAGGGGTTTAGCTATACTGAAGCAACTCTCTGCATGACAGTTTACTTCCTTGTCCTGACCCCTGTTCAATACCCCTTTATTATGGCCGAAAGAGTATCACTGGCCAAAAGAGCATACTAACAAGACGAATACATGCACACACAGAGTACAATGTGGCAGTACTTGTGATTGAGTTACAGAAGTTTCCCTCCTCTAAGTTGGCACTGTCTTGGTGTTTCTGGGTATAATAAAGTCTCTAACAACAGCTGCATTCAGAGAAATACCCTATTTTTTACCTTCTTCATGAACTATGGCCACAGTAAGACCAGCTGATAATTTGAGTCAGTTTGACAAACTAATAATGGAACACAACCAATCAGATAACATCACATGAAAGTGTTTGCCTAAGTGATGCCAATACATTTGATTAGAGCGATCTTATCAGAAATAGTGGATGAGCACTAGGTGGGTTGTTAATTATTCTGTCCCACACCAGATGCTGAAGGTGCAGGAAGTTTCAGAAGTTGGTAAAGATCAGCAGTTTCTTTTTGACCTTATGAGGATATACAGTAACGGACCGTCAACGCTCTGATGAAGGTTCAACATCATAGATGAAATTCATCAGCAGACATGGCCTAAGACATATAAATGGAGACATCTTTACATAAAAATGATGAGCATTGACTAGATGACATGTGAGGAGTACAGTAAGTCAATGACCATGTCTCACAGTCAAGCGCTTAACTTTTAGGGGGACGGGGATGATGACCCAACCAAAATTAGAGACAGGTCAATTTGACCTCCTCAATAATATATTAATAGGAAATTATTTTCCCACCGTAAAGCGTCAGGCAGCTACTGGCTTTCTGTGTCTTTTACACCACACAGTGTTACTCATTTCCTCGTTTTATATGATTGGACCCCCCCCCCCCCCCCCCCCCCGCTAATTATGCTTTTGGTTTGGCCCGGTCCTCCGAAGGCTTGGTTTGTGGAGGGAAAAAAAGTTTAGCAAGGCTAACTTGGAACATTTAAAAGAGTAAAGTCAAATGTAACATGGTAAATTAATTAGCACGAATAAGAATTATATAGAAAATGATGTTTTTTCAAATGGCAATGCGCATTTCTCAAAAGAGTAGTTATTGGTATATGGTTATATTGGGCTCTTAGGTAGTATTATAAACCTTAAAACATCTAGTTTCTAGTAGGCTCAGATTTAGAGAAGGATTGTTTCTATGAACCTCAGGCAGTAGGCTCAAGCGAGCCTGTTTGTCTCCCCAGTCCGAGGCAGCCTGCCTGTCCTCCTTATTTAGGCCAAAATTGTGGGCGGGAAGCACAAATCATGTTTATGCAACCTAATAATCACCATCACAATACTTCCAGAACCAACTTTTGTTTTTATTTTAATTTGAGAATCTACAATAGAAATTGGCCCAATCTAGCTTCATTTCATGTGACATTGCAGAGCAGTAAGCTGGTTTATTTCTCATTTATTATTTATTTATTCTTGATTTCAATATGGAAGGGAAACCAGGTACTGGTGTTTGTATGTACTATTTCTTGATGAGTAAAAGGCTAATGTATTAAGTAAATTTGAATAACTTATACCATATTTTTGTGTAACAATAGTAGAAGTTAATGTATTTGGGGAAGATGAGGGTGCATAGATAATACAAATACTGAGCTAAATTGTATGCTCAAAAAAGTAAAAATTATATTATACTGAACAAAAATATAAAAGCAACATGTAAAGTGTTGGTCCCATGTTTCATGAGCTGAAATAAAAGATCCCACAAATTTCCCATATGCACAAAAAGCTTATTTCTCTCAATTTCTTTGCACACATTTGTTTACATCCCTGTTAGTGAGTATTTCTCCTTTGCCAAGATTATCCATCCACCTGACAGGTGTGGCATATCAAGAAGCTGATTAAACAGCATGATCATTACACAGGTGCACCTTGTGCTGTGGACAATAAAAGGCCACTCTAAAATGTGTAGATTTGTCACACAACACAATGCCACAGATGTCTCAAGTTTTGAGGGAGCGTGCAATTGGCATGCTGACTGCAGGAATGTCAACCAGAGCTGTTGCCATAGAATTTAATGTTAATTTCTCTTCCATAAGCCGCCTCCAACGTTCATTTTAGAGAATTTGGCAGTATGTCCAACCGGCCTCACAACCACAGACCACGTGTAACCACGCCAACCCAGGACTTCCACATCCGGCTTCTTCACCTGCGGGATCGTCTGAGACCAGCCACCCGGACAGCTGATGAAACTGTGGGTTTGCACAACCGAATAATTTCTGCACAAACTGTCAGAAACCATCTCAGGCAAGCTCATCTGCGTGCTTGTCGTCCTCACCAGGGTCTTGACCTGACTACAGTTCGGTGTCGTAACCGACTTCGACCTTCGATGGCCACTGGCACGCTGGAGAAGTGTGCTCTTCACGGATGAATCCCGGTTTCAACTGTCCCGGGCAAATGGCTGACAGCGTGTATGGCATCGTGTGGGCGAGCGGTTTGCTGATGTCAACTTTGTGCCCCTTGGTGGCGGTGGGGTGATGGTATGGGCAGGCATAAGGTACGGACAACGAACACAATGTTTCAGCATGATAATGCACGGCCTCATGTCGCAAGGATCTGTACACAATTCCTGGAAGCTGAAAATGTCCTGTATACTCACCAGACATGTCACCCATTGAGCATATTTGGGATGCTCTGGATCAACGTGTACAACAGCGTGTTCCAGTTCCCGCCAACCGCCCGACTGGCGCAGTGGTCTAAGGCACTGCATCGCAGTGCTAGCTGTGCCACTAGAGATCCTGGTTCAAATCCAGGCTCTGTCGTAGCCGGCCACGACCGGGAGACCCATGGGGCGGCGTACAATTGGCCCAGCATCGTTCCAGGGTAGGGGAGGGAATGGCCGGCTGGGATGTAGCTCAGTAGAGCATGGCGTTTGCAACGCCAGGGTTGTGGGTTCAATTCCCACGGGGGGCCAGTATAAAAAATAATGTATGCACTCACTAACTGTAAGTCGCTCTGGATAAGAGCGTCTGCTAAATGACTAAAATGTAAATACCCTATTTCTCTCACTTTTCTTTTTTTTCTCATTGTTTCTGTAGTGAGGATTCACCCACTTTAGATCATTATTTTGTAACTTATCTGCCGAATTCGTGTGGATGATTAGGACCAAGTTTCTCTTACCTGTTTGTGAAGATGTAGTTGACCTAGGGCAAATGTTACACTATGACAGTCATGTAATGTAGGTGACTCGGTGGTGTTGTGTTACAAATACATCAAAGATGTAACACACAGCATGGCTAGGATTGCACAATTCCATCACATTTCCCATAATTCTCAGTTTTTCCAGAAATCCCGGAAAACCTGGGAATTTTGTAAGTATGACTATTACATTATGACAGTGATGACCGTGATTATCTATCTTACCTGCTTGTTCATGAAGATATAGATAACGGGGTTGATGAACGTGCTGGCCTTGGCCAAGACCGAGGGCACAATGCTGACCTCAGGGGTGACCAGGCCGGGGCGTCCGAAGGTGGCCAGCAAGGCCAAGACCCCGTAGGGCATCCAGCACATCAGGTACACCAACACCATGGCGACCACCATGACAAGAACACGGTGCTCCCTCTTCCTGCTCATAGCTCTGTTGATGCCGCTAACCTTGGGAGGCAATAAGCAGGGAAGTAGAGAAGATGCAAGGGAGGAGATTAGAGGAAGAAATGTGCAGTCGATGAAAGAGTCCAGAGGAAAAGGGGTAGCAGAGGAAGAGAAAGACAGGGAGCGAGAGAGAGCAACCTCTGGAATGTCCCTCTTGCTCCTCAGACACTGCACTGACAGAGTGGAATCAGAGAAAGAAAGCGAAAGGAATGAGATTGAGCGGCCCACCATCGACCACTTTTCCCAGACATGCATGCTCTGACAAAGTGCATTGTCTGTTTAGCTACTGGCATGTGACAGGAGTCCTAATTTCTTGAAATGTTTCCCCAAATGTAAACAGTGTCAGAATCTTGGCATCTCCATTGGGAGGCACACTGAGACATCAGGGCTAAATGTCACCCATCTTGTCGTGGCCTAGAAACACACACACAAAAAGCCCTCTGGGTCTCATGCTCTCCACAAACATGAGCTGTTTATATTTGACTGTCTGCATTGTTTCCCCGATGACTGCCCATCATCCCCTGTCACTCAAGTTGCCACAGAGACAGACACTTCAGCAGAAACCCGGTTTCAAAAGGCTGCAGTGCTGACATGATTTAGGGGATCGGAGTGTTTCCACCCAAACAACAACAAAAAACATTACTAAAACATAAAACAACTTTCGGGTTTCAGCCATTAATCACTATTCTCATGTCAGCGAGATTCACTCTCAGTCCAACCTGGTCTAAGAGCATTTTGTATTATTCTGTACGTAAATCCATGAACTACATATAGTATATGTTACGTTTTGAATGGTTACAGAAGACAGATAGTTACTTAAGGCAAAAATGAAAGGAGGGTTGCGTGTTCAAATCTCATCAGGAACAACTTTCCACTACTTACTACTGTTACTACTTAGCATATTAGCTAACCCGTCCCCTAACCCTAATGTTAACCTTTTTAGCTAACCCTTTACCTAACCCTAACCTTAACCCTTTTAGCTAACCCTTCCCCTAACCCTTTAACCTAACTCCTAAACTTAACCCTAACTCCTAAGCCCTAGCCTAGCTAACGTTAGCGAGCTAGCTAACATTAGCCACCTAGCTAGAATTCGTAACATATCATAGGTTTTGAAATTTCATAAAATATTGTACATTTTGCAAAATCATAACATATAATACAAATTGTAATTCATAACATACACTACATTACCAAAATAATGTGGACACCTGCTTGTCGAACATCTCATTCCAAAAATCAAAAACATCTAGAATGTCATTGTATGCTGTAGCGTTAAGATTTCCCTTCACTGGAACTAAGGGGCCAAGCCCAAAACATGAAAAACAGCCCCAGACCATTATTCCTCCTCCACCAAACTTTACAGTTGGCACTATGCATTGGGGCAGGTAGCATTCTCCTGGCAACCGCCAAACCCAGATTTGTTCGTCGTACTGCCAGATAGTGAAGCGTGATTCATCACTGCAGAGAACGCGTTTCCACTGCTCCAGAGTCCAATGGCAGCAAGCTTTACATCACTCCAGTTGACGCATGTCTTTGCGCATGGTGAACTTAGGCTTGTGTGCGGCTGCTTGGCCATGGAAACCCATTTCATGAAGCTCCCGACTAACATTTATTGTGCTGACGTTGCTTCCAGAGGCAGTTTGGAACTCGGTAATGAGTGTTGCAACCGAGGACAGACGATTTTTATGCACTACGCGCTTCAACACTCGGCGGTCCCATTCTGTGCACTTGTGTGGCCTACCACTTTGCGGCTGAGCCGTTGATGCTCCTGGACGTATCCACTTCACAATAACAGCACTTACAGTTGACCGGGGCAGCTCTAGCAGGGCAGAAATTTGACGAACTGACTTGTTGGAAAGGAGGCATCCAATGACAGTTCCACGTTGAAAGTCACTGAGCTCTTCATTAAGGCCATTCTACTGCCAATGTTTGTCTATGGAGATTACATGGCTGTGTGCTTGATTTTATAAACCTGTCAGCAACGGGTTTGGCTGAAATAGCAGAATCCACGAATTTGAAGGGGTGTCCACATACTTTTGTATATATAGTGTATCATACGAAATGGGTGATGATCGTCCACAAATTAATAAATACCATACGAAAAGTAACAGAGTATCTCGGACATACATACAGAATAATACGAAATGCTCTGAGACCAGGTTGCTCAGTCGATCTCTCCCACTGTCTCTGTGATGATTTGATAAATGTTGGAGGCCTCTTCCAGCTCCCCTTTGTATTGTGGGTTATGCGTGTGGGAGAACTAGGCACTAGCGAGCAGGGGAGTACTATCACATTTCAAAGTATTTTATATAAACTGTTCCTAAACATGACCATAATTATGCTGTTTGCTGTGGGAATTTCCAGTAAATTGGCCCATCAGTTAAAGTTTGGACTGCTTGGGACTCTGTATTCATGCTGTTGATGACCCTTCTGCATTATAAGCAACATTTTTCAGCTTTGCCTAGGGGCAGAGACCGATTTCGCCAAAGGCTAAGCGCTAACTGCCTTAAACCAGTGTCTTCGTAGGATTGCAGCCATCTTACCTTGTTCTTCCCTAAAAAACGAACTATTCTCTCTCCATGCCTAAAGGGCCACTGTGCCCACTGTTTTGTCCCCATGCTACTTAGTTAATTGATTATCATCACTGATTGAACAGCAGACTCTACTGCTATTTAAGACAGAAGTTATGGACCCTTGCATTTAAAGCATGTGAGAAAAGGTCAGAGTTAGAGAGGTAATGCCACATTTACGATGGACGTATGGCTTCTCTCCATCTTTTTTAAGATCCTTTTAAAAAAAAGATCTGCAGGGCTTCGGCTGTTTGATACGCTCTCCATTTTGGCTCCAACAGGGCTTTGATCCAGAAGATAACGGTTTGCCTTTCCGTCTCCATGACCCTTTCACTCAGTCAGCACTGGGCAAAGGACACTTAATGGGTTCAATCTATAGACTGATTGGGTAAATCAAGACTGCTCAGTGACTTGGAAAGACAGAAATACGGAAGATACAAAGGTAGACAAAATGTCCTTCAAGGATCAGTAGCCAATAAGAGATCTTGTCTCACTTTATTTGTCTGTCTGACTCACTGTCTTCATATCATTTACTGCAAAAAAATAAAATAAAAAATGTGGCAGCGAGCAGTATTCGTTAGGTATAGTTACCAATAGTCAACAATTCCATTATCCCACAAAACTAAAGGGTGAAATGTTAGTGAATATGTGGGAACTAGTTCTCTTAATAAAGTTTATACCTTTCAAGGTAGACTCAGCGAGATGGCGTCGCATCGAACAGCACCGCAGATATTGGAATGAGCGGGATGCGAGACTTTGCTCTCACACAGTCACACAGAGTATCTGCGCATGTGCACGGGTGCGCTTTAAGCTGCTACAACGTAGTAGCTACGGGACCAAAACAGTGGAGAAGTTTAGCCTCCCACTTCAATGCTCTTAGTTTTTGCGAAAATTGACCCACTATGTGTTTACTTCATGCATGCAACGCTGAGTTTACCTTTTATAACTCTAGAAATAAGGTAGAAAGCTAAGAGAACAGAACTAGTTTAGTTAACATTTTATATGGCGTACAGAAGATGCATTGGTGGCCTGAGGTCAGCGCAGCAATACTTCACAGCATAAGGCACCTTCGATGAGTATCCAATGGCAAAACCTCTCCACAGTGTGAACCAGTGATGTATATAAACCCTGGATTGCTGATGCTATATATTGGCCATTGAGAGGCTTTGAAGTCACCGGTCGGCCATATTGGCACTCCCCAGTTGGAGCAGTCCTCCATAGGAATGAATGGATTTCTACAGTATTTCAATGAAAGGTTTCAAGGACAAAATACCATGTATTTAAGTATTTTGTTGTTGTAGTGGGGACAGTAACATTAGTCATCTCAAAAAATTATACTTGAAGGATGAAAAAATATGTACATGTTTAGCTCACATAATATAATTTAAAGTATACATGAATGTGTCTGTAATAGAATAAACGTGGCAAAAACAAATGTAGACATTAATAAATGCATTGTCTTTTGAATTCCCTCGGCAGGTACTGAAATCCTTTTATGTTGTGCAGTGCAATTTAAAAAATGAATACAAATCTATGCCAACAGATATGGTATTGTGGTATTAAATATAATCCAGATTTACATTTTAGTCATTTAGCAGACGCTCTTATCCAGAGCGACTTACAGTTAGTGAATACATTTTTTATACTGGCCCCCCATGGGAAACGAACCCACAACCCTGGCGTTGCAAACGCCATGCTCTATCAACTGAGCTACATCCCTGCCGGCCATTCCCTCCCCTACCCTGGACGACGCTGGGCCAATTGTGCGCCGCCCATGAGTCTCCCGGTCGCGGCCGGCTGCGACAGAGCCTGGATTCGAACCAGGATCTCTAGTAGCACAGTTAGCACTGCGATGCAGTGCCTTAGACCACTGCGCCACTCAGGAGCTTAAATAAGATGCTGTGTCCGTGGGTGCTGTGTATGTGCGTGCCAAGTATAGGGGGTTCTTTTCACTCTAGCTGACACTGTAATGGCAATAAAGTAGAATAAATAGTATGTGTCAAACGAGTGTCCCTCCCTGGGAACAAAAAGCTCTGAAAGATGTCTTCTGTGTCACTTTGACAGTTGTAATTTCCATGTCTGTGACGGACCTTCAGCAGGTCTGAATGTGATTGCGGTCTACATTACACACTTTTACCTCCATTGCCCTCACAAGCTACACACAAAACAGTGTTTATGAGGACTTGGTGTAAAAAAAAATAGGCAAGGGCAAACCACCTCACAAACACACTTCTATAAGTGTTTAATTGTATTGGCCAATTATCAATCTTGGAGTCTATCCTGGTGATTTCTTCTTACATTTGACATTTTAGTCATTTAGCAGACGCTCTTATCCAGAGCGACTTACAGTTAGTGAGGGCATACATTTTTCATACTGGCCCCCCGTGGGAATCGAACCCACAACCCTTGCGTTGCAAACGCCATGCACCAGGACATAAATGCCTTAGAAAGCTACATCCAATCAGATCAGATCAGATCATTCTTCTCCTCATCTTCTCTCCATAAAAGCTAAAAGTCAGATAAATAATTAATTCCACTAATGCAGAGTGTCATACAAAAATTAATCTTCACTCCTCAAAATGTATTTACCCAAAGTGTCCTTCTACAGTATGTTGTGCAGTATTAGAGGCAACGGGGGGGGACACTCTTTAAGCTTATCACACATGCACGACTTTACCCACACCACCCAAAAAACTAATAAACACACAAACGCACATTCACACACTTTGTTATTCCAAATCAAACAGCCACACTCACTTACACAAATGTGCTAGCTTAATTTGACCAGTTTCTCACAGCAGGAAAATAATCCTGCAACAACAGTAACTGTGAATTATTGTGTGGATTATAATGAATGGACATTTTTGTAGAGGTTGATAATTTTTTTGGGATGGATAAATCAAGACTGACATTTTAAAGTGGAAATTATAAACTTTAGAATACTTTTTAAACATCGAACACGCTACAATTTGCATTTCCTGCTGATCAGAAAATGTTTCTGCGACAACAGTGATATTTATTAAGATAGTACATTTGTATGCCCATACACACACCACACACACACACAAACTCCACAAAGACACACACACACAGCATTCAAATTGCTTCAGCATTCCATTTCCTTATTCCACAAGGAGTTCCTGTCAGTCCTGCTGTAGCCGTTA